TTTACAATGTGCAGACGAGAGTTTTGGATTTGGTGGGGAAGGAGCTCGTTAGTGACGAAATTATGGGGAAAATTCTGGAAACTAAGTATGGGGAAGATGCTAGGTGCCGTTGTCAATGGAGAAATTAGTGCATCGACAGAATATATTCGCGCGAAACTCCGTGGACTGACAAACCAAAAAGTCCTCATTCCAGTGAGCTGCAATGGTAATCACTTGTGCTCTATTATGCTGAATCTGAGTTCGAGTGAAGCCTATATCTACGATTCTAGTGCAACGTCTTATCTGCGCGGCGTCCGTACACTGACACAGACGGTGATCAACCTTGTACCACGTGCAGTTGGCATAAGCTTTCGAGTGAGAATCTTTGAATCTGGTCTGGGCATTCAGAACGATAGCTACAATTGTGGTATCTATGTCTGTCTGGCATTCGAGTTGTTTTGTGGTGCTGATCCACTTGGTCATCTGGACAAGAAGACTCTTCAGTGTATGAGATACCGCTACCTTCGTATGTGTCTGTGTGCTTAACGATGCTTACGCTGAAAAGAGACGAATTAGAGATGAACAATAGATGAATAAGAAAGTGGCATCCACCATTTCATTCAAATTGCACTCGTGACATTATTAGTGAGCATGTACAACCATTGTGTTGCCCAAGAGTATCAACTTAATGTGTATTCACTACTGACCGAAGACTGCCAGAATATCGAAGTCAAGCTAAGCTACGCTTTCGTAATTCAGCTATACGTATACAATGACCTTCTGGCTCTTTTGAGTTGGGCACCATTCGGTCATGTTTGGGAGCAGGTTGGTCCATGGATGGTAACTCTAACAGCGTTTGGGTATTGGTTGAGTACTAGTTGGGAACAATTGGCTCGTCTCATAATTCTCAGTTGGGATCAGCAACGAGTGCCAATATTTTATCAAATTTTAGCGTTGAAGCAGTGTATCCGGCTGTCAATCGGGTTTACGGACAGCCCTATAGGGATTAATTTACGAGTGTGTGGGCCACCCTACGCGTACCTATACGGAAGATACAAATTTTAAGTACAAGCGTCTTATAAATCCTTTATTTTTCATTAGCTTTGGCAAGCTAGTTGCTTTAGTGGAAAATTGTTTTTAGAGTTGAAATGAACAATTGCTGAGGATTTCCGGAAGAATATCGTGCTAAATGAGCTTAAGCCCTATCGTTAGATGAGCTGGGATCCACCATCAGCTTGTGGACTTTGCTCCTCGTCGATAAAAATCACTTTCCAATCTGGCTCCTAGTGCTCATGGCTTCTCTTGTTTTCTATTGCTCCTGCTTACTAAAGGGCTATGCTATTCGCTGTCGTGCTGCAGGGCAGCTCGAATTGGTGTTGGTCTAAAAAACTTACTGTGCTGCCGATTCTGCTTTGTGCTAGACGGGACCATTGAAGCGCACCAGTAATCTGCGTTGATAGGGTGTCCACTCAGCTCAAGATATTGCAGGCTCGGCTTTGTATTTCTTATTGCGATGAAGCATTGTACTGCCTGGAAGTTGTGCACTCACACTAATAAAATCCCGTTTCGAGAGCCCGTTCTATAGAGCTACCTGAGTAAGACTTGCCAAGCATGTATCTGACGTGATGCAATCAATGCATACTTGGCAAGTCTTACTCTGGTAGGCTGGTGTAGCTATAACTCCACAGAAAAATATTTGCTAAGGATATTTATTAGATAATAAGTAGAAAATACGTCACACAGTGTGTGAGAGACGGTCCAGGTCTTCGATATTTCGAACGTAAGCGCCAGAGCTGGAGCACGGATGGCTGACGATCTTCTCGACATCTATCGTGAAGATTGTTCTGCCAACACAGTATAACCACGCATAATCGGGAGCGGTAAATGCGACAGTGGGTGTACGAAGATTATACTGATGATGTTAATAGAAAGTGGCCTTTTATTTTGCTCTAATTAAATTATATTTGTCTAAAGAATTCTTATATTCGTTGAAACAAGAGACGATGTATGCTGTCTGTCGGGGTTTGTAAAGAAGCTTCACAGCAAGTTTTGGCCTGTGTAGCTCCTGGTGAGTGTTGACATTGCTTGATCCAAGTAACACATCGTGTTGATTAATCTAGCTGCTAAACCTTAGCCGCCTAAAGTCGCGATCTCGTCAATTTTCCCAGACAATTGCAAAAAGAATTTACTGTTTGTCGTAGCGATTGCAACCGCTGCAGGTTGTGATGCTTTTTGTTCTTCTTCGTGTCTAGCTTTCTGCTCCGCCTGGAATCCAAAGTAACGGCTCGAAGCAGGGTCTAACAGATCGAACAGCTTATGTATACTCTGGATCTCGGGATGTGTAAAATATTTTTTTATATTTTCTACTTTTTTCTATTAACTTCTCCTCTACAGTATCATACAGCTATGTTCTCCTTTGTCGTACTGCTTAACTACATTTATATTTATGCACGACCATCCCGATCCTCTACACCTTTGCCAATCCTAACCGGCGAGATTGTAAAGCAAAGAGGAATGACCCAAAATAAGTTTAATTTTTTTAAGAACATTTTTTGTGAAAATTCAGTGTAGAGCAATGCGGATTTAGTGTAAATCAAATCTTTACGTGCCGTACTCCATGGGTTCCTCTCGAATCGCTGCCGCGATCGACAATGCGCAATGGTGAGCCATTTTATTGACGAGACGCATGTCCATGCAGGGCATACAGTGGTCTGCAGCACTCTCCAGTAAACGCATCCGGCGTTCAGACATCTCTCCATAGGGAAGGTTGAACATTTGGTTGCTGTTCATCGCGAGGTAGACTTTAATACGTGCTTTCAACACGCTAAAGCAGCCTACAACATACATAAAGCTCAATATTAGTGCTTAAAGGACCTACATCATTTAACCATACAGCGTACCTTCGATTGGATTGCACATGGGCGAGTACGGCCCGAGCCTCAGCAACTCCAGGTCTCACCTGCCTTTGACCAGGTCTTCAGTCTGGTTATGGGCTGGTGCGTTATCCAAGATGATAACGATCGTCTTGCCAGCAAAATGTTCTTTGAAAACATCAGTTTGCTTGACAGCGTCGTACACGTCATCCACAAAAGGCTGCGTTCACTTCCATATTTATACTACCGTGGCGCCTAGCCCAGTGCACCAGCCCAACTTCCGGTGAAACAGCACATTGTAGCTGTAAGTTAGCACCCTTAGAGGGTGGGAGCTTGACGACCGCTCGCTGTCCAATCAGCGCTCGTCCTTGAGAGCGCTTACAGTAAAGGTTATAATTAGTCTCGTCATAGTACACGATGAAAGACCCCTTCTTCTCATGCGCAAGCAGCGCTTCTCCAAACACTCTTCGTTTCTCTATGTTTGCATCATTATTACAGGTTGCGGGCTCAACACGAACCTGTCCAGGGAATACATACTGTAGTTAGTAGTCATTAACCTCGATATGGTATACACACATATACCTGCTTGACTGTTTATAATTTATCACATAGCTTCTTGCTGATGAGCGACGTGCTATGCCAACTGCGAAGTCGAACCATAGCATCTCTTGCATTTGTGCTAGTGTAAACAAGCAGTTTTCCTCTAAGTACTGCACTAGCGCCTCCTCCATCTCAGGCGTGCACCTCGTGCACGCCGCGCGCGCACCACCTCTGGACTTGACGTCCAGTGTCCCACGCTCGACAATCTTGCGGGCAGTAGTGGCCGGAATGCCGTTACAGTCCGCCACCAGGGCCCAGTCTCGTCCGCTCGTGTACGCGTCTAGCACCCGCGTTCGGGCGGCAAGCCCGTGCTTCGGCTCGTTTGGTATGGTTGTGGCGATTCGGAAGTCTGGTACTGACTTCACTAAATCTCAAGTCGCTTTTTTTATATATATTTCCAGAATTTGTTTGTTACTTTAGTTACTTCAGTCCATTTTGCTTTACGATTTCGCCGGTTAGGCCCTGGTTCAGGTAGAGAACTGTGTTCTGTGCTTCAGAATGGGTTGAAGCTTTCTGCTTGCCTTATTTTGTGCTTGCAATTTTAATAATCTGTGCTGTGGTTGTCCAAGTAAATTCTGCCTTCTTGGCAGCTACTGACTGCATCATTTATCAATTCCCCGCCAGAAATACACTACAATATCGAGCAGCCGTGTGTGCTATCTACTGATGTAGGGGGAACGGCATAATAGTCGGACCTCGCCAACCACTGCTTGAACCTAAGTGCTATCTCTCTCATATGCCGCGCGACCCCTGTCGCTGCCTAGCGCAATGCACAGGTGCGAGCTTCCCGACCTTCCGGACTGGAATCCATGCGACCAGTCTTGCAGGGTAAAAACTGCCTTTCATTTCCCTAGCACAATTGTTCTCTCGCTAGAATACCTCTGGCTGGTGTTCTGAAAAACTGCATCCGGGAACACGAACGAGCAAAACATATGCAGGAGCGCCGTAATTCTTAGCCAATCAAATTTCTTAAATTATTCGGCACAGAACGCGTTGACTTAGGATTGGCAAAGGTGTAGTTTGTGCTAAACTTTTTCCGGATCACTACGTCATTGCTCTTAGAAAATGATATAAAAATGCACTGAGCCGCCACGCTTCCCGCAAAAATATATACTTCAAATAATGTACCATGTATTAATACATCTTACTGGATGTTGTACTTTAAAAATAATTAACAGTGGGTCCATAGAATTAGATGTATTCCTGGTAAATGAATTATCGGAATCGCTAACAGTAAATCACATATAAACAACGGGGTCCAATCGGCTATTTGACGCCATGAGCAGTGTTATTTTGCTGTTTCTCGTTGTGTGTTCTCCAGATAAAATGCAAAGCAGCTGTAGAGCAGCAGCTCCATACCCACAACAAACCTGGCCAAGATTGTGGAGAGATGATTTCGTCGTCTATTAGGGTAAGAGCGACATGCTAACTTTACCAGATGCATCTACTTGCAGTTTAGTCTCTCCAATGGCAAGGGTCCAATAAGCCAAGAGAGCCAGAGCACATAGCAGTTTACGATTTATTGGCCACACTGCTACAGTAGTTCATTTAGGCCTTGACGACATGCGAGCTGTCGATCCCAGCAATTGCATCCGACAGAACGTGCACCTCGTACTCGATACCAGTCGTCGGCAACGAGAGCGACACTTTCACCTTGTGTTTCCACGCCACGTGCTTCACATGCACCAGCTCTCCTTCTTTCTTCGTCAAGAGCACGTAGAAGCCGTACGGTTTGGGTTTCTGCAGCCTCGACGTGAAGGCCAGATTCCTCGTTCCTTGGTCGTTCAAGCCCGTCAGCTGCACCTCAAGCTGTAGCTCCCTCTTCTGAACCTCCACACAAAGACGTGGCACTTCTTCCGCCACACGAGCAAACTCGTTGATCTTGTGCTTCGTTAGACCTCCACGTTGACTCGGAAGACTCTGCAGCCGTGCCACGATCTGCGTCTTCTTGCTCTTGACCGCTAGCGCTGCTTGTAGCTCAGCGATGTCCGAGATGTCGAACTGCTCCTTCAAAAGCTTCACAGCCGCTTGCGACGCGTGTGGCAGTTGACGCAGCTCTTGGCTCTCGTTCGGCCATCGTCCCTGGACCACAGCTTGAGACAGGCGGATGCCTGCTAGCACGAGATCCGCGAGCTTCAAGTGCGCGCAGAGGTCGATCGCAGCGCTCAGCAGACGCGGGAGATGGTCCAATACAGTGCGCAGGTCGTTGACAAAGTCACTGGAGGGCAGACGCATCCCCGTCAAGTGCATTTGCAGGACGAGAAGCGCCTTCACTTCACTCCCATGCGTCTCCAATAGCGCCTTCCGACGCTTCGGAGCGCTGGCAAACAAGTGCTGGAGTGGCGAGTACTTGACCTTGCCGCAGAGATCTGCTATGAGGTTACTCATGACCTCGTTGTGCCGCAGTGGGACGTCGCGTAGCTCCACACTCGACTCGCAGATCACACACAGCAGCAGCAACGTGTCGTCCGTCGTCCTCCTCTCGGTTGACACCGTCGTGAGCGCTGTGAGCATGTTGGACACGGTCCGAACGTCCACATACAGCGACGCAGCCAGCTTGCCAGCAAACGTTGGCTCGAACGATGACGCGCCGTCTGTCCGTGACGCTGCAACGCACTGACAAGCCTCGAGCTGCTCCATTGTAGTCGAGATGAGCTGCTGGAAGAACGTCTCCAACGCGTCTTGCGTACTGGGACAGGCCGTCTTGGCCTGTTTCGACGTGGCTGCTGCCACCACTTCCGTGCCGACGCCGTAGAAGCTTGGGTTCTTGAGCACGCGCTGGAACAACAAGCTCCAGCTCAGATAATCCATCACGTCCCTTGTGGATCGGACCAATCCGGCCGCAATCTCGGCGTTCAGATGGTTCGCCAGCACTGCGTTGCCTCCGAGACACGACTCCACCGCCAGAGGCTCGTACAGGAAGCGCTGCGTCATGTTCTTCTTGCTCTCTTCCACCAACACACAGGCGACGCCCTTGTCATCCAGCAGCGGACGCCCAGCACGTCCGATCATCTGCAGTAAATCACTCAACGGGTACGAGCGGTAGCGGCCGTTCTGGAAGTACTCGGTGCCTTTCACCACCACAAGATGCGCCGGGAGATTCACGCCCCACGCTAACGTGGACGTGGAGATGACCACTTGGATGAGTCGATCTCGGTACAGTTTCTCCACCAGCGCTCGGTCTCTCCGCGCCAGGCCAGCGTGGTGCAGACCGATGCCAAACGACAGCGTGTGCTTCAGCGTCTCGTCCCCAATCTGGCTCGACTGGCAGATCGAGTCCATCACGGCCTCGTCCATCTTCAGAAAGCGCTTGTCGCCGTCGTCCGCGACGCAAAACTGGATCAAATCCAGCGCCGTCAGCTTCGTCTGCGCCTTGGACGACACGAAGACCAGCACCGGTTTGTCGGGGGAATGCGTCTTGATAGCCATGAACGTGGGCTTGTTCATTGCAGCCATACGAGCCACGTAGTGCCGCTCCGGGAAGCCCTGGATATGCACATCCATGGGCACAGGACGCACCGACGCTCGGAAGTTGTACACCTGTCCGACGTCCGGGTTTTTCGCGTGACTCGACGTGATCCCTCCCAGCCATCGACCCACGTCTCCCGCGTTGGCGAGGGCTGTCGAGAGTCCAATGACGCGGATCGGAGGCCCCGAGCGCTGGAATCGTCTCAGTCGACTGATTAAAACTTCCAGCACAGCTCCACGAGGCGCCTCGCCCACTAAATGGACCTCGTCTACGACCACAAGCGCCATCTGAGTCATCAACGCTCGACCGATGGAGCTGCTTCGTGTTAGCAGATCCCATTTCTCCGGCGTTGTCACCACAATATCCGCCTTGGTCAGGATAAAATCCACGTTGACCAGCGTATCCCCCGTCACTTCCACCACCTTTTTACGCAGCTGCGGGTTGTTCTCGAAGCGGGTTTTCCACTCCGCCACCTTCTCTCGAGCTAGAGCCTTCATCGGCGCAATGTACACGATCAGCGACTGACAAGTGCGTCGTGCAGAGCCTTGACTGCTCTCCTGCAGCTGCTTCCACACTCTCAACATGGCCAACTCGGCACACACCGTTTTCCCACTACCAGTGGGAGCGCAGAGCAGCACATTCCCGTTTTGGTGGTAAAGCTGGTGGAAAGCTTGCGTCTGGATCGGGTTAAAGTACTGGAACTTGCCCACATACAGCGCCTGGTACACCGGATCATCCAGCGACTGCAGAGGCTGAGGATGCAGACGAAGCAGCTTCGTGTACATTTCCTCCTTCCTGTCAGCCACGGGGCGCGCACTGGGCTTGTAGCTCACTTCGTAGTAGGATTCGATGCCCACAAAGCGGTCCGAGATGATACGAATCACATAGTTGGCCTCCGTCTGCGTGGGAGAGATAAAAACAGGCAAGTAGCACTCGATCTCGAGACTCTGCGTGCCTGCTTTCCATCCCAAGAAGCGACTCTGATGCAGGACCGAGTACTCGGAGTGGTAGATGTAGCCGGTGACCGCGTCTTCCACCCACAGCCACGACGCCAGCGATTTACCCTGGAAAACGCCTTCTTTCCACTCGAGGAACAGCGGACACAGCTCGAACGTGAGTTTAATCATATTGCCACCAAACGGCTGCGTCTGGACGTGGTCAATGTCGATGAACGGGACGCTCTGTACCCATTTCTGTATCTTCGGACTCAGATTAAAGGCGTCGGGATCCACCACCGCGTCGTACAAACTCATGTGATGTCGACGATCCACTTCTCCGACGACATCTAGCGGCACATTGGGCAGCTGCAGCATCGCGTTCTGGTCGAACCACATCTTCTGGTCGATACATTTGGCCAATTGCAGAAACTTGTCGGCCTTTCGAGCGCTATTCTTCTTCAGGCAAATCTCAAACAAGGCGCGACACACTCGAGAGCCATTCTGCGCCACGTAGTTCGTGTCGGAGATGAGCGTAAACGACGACACGCGCGCGCGGCCGATGAGACTCTGCAGCAGGATGTTCGTCTTGCCCGTGTACGTGTCCATGCCGCCGCCCAGCACGTCGAAGCGGCCGAATCTGCGCTTGAGTTTCTCTAGCTCCGGCATCTCTTCTTCCCTCGACTTGAGCTGTTCGAACTCGTTGCTACTGCACAGCACCAGGAGCGCCTTCTCCCAGTCCAGATCGTCCTCGTCCCCTTCTTTCTGTCCTGCTTTACTGTCCAGGAGATCGTTGAACGTCTCGATCGACGTGTGTTGGATGTAGAAATGACTTGCCACTCGGCCCATGGACGTCACGGCGAACGCGATTTTGCCTTCCTGGTCGGAATCCAGCCGCACCTTCTCGCGTAGAATCTTGATCATCCGACACGCCGCCAGTTTCTCGGCTGCGTCCATGAGGAGCTGTCTGCGTCTTGCCACAAGCATCGGGTCTTCGTTCACGTCGTCCAGCTTCATACCGTACGCCAGTGGATTCTTCCGCATGCGCACGTACAAGTACGTGTAGCTGAGCCACGTGCAGGCCTCTTCCAGATTGCTCACTGTTCCAGATACAATCTCGGCGTTGAGATGGTCCGGAAGAGCCTTGATCAGCGCGGATTCCATCGGTATACCGGTGGTGAGTAAGCGGAGATAGTGAGGAAGTTGCTCTTGCGTTGTCACCAGCACAGCGTCGCCACTGGTATCGTACTGCGGACGTCCAGCACGACCGAAGATCTGCATCACATCCAGCATACTCAGCTGCGTCATGCCTCCTTTATCGGCGTTGTACACCTGTGTACCCTTAATAAGGACCGAGTGCGCTGGCAAGTTCACACCCCACGCCAACGTCGCCGTACAGCACAAGACACGGATGTAGCCAAGTTCAAAGAGCTGCTCGGTCAAGTTCCGATCGCTTCGCAGCATACCGGCGTGGTGGATCCCCAATCCGTATCCTAAAAGCTCTTTGAGCTCTTTGTTGCGACTCTTTTGCACCCGTTCCTGTAGATTGAGGGGCATCTGGAGCTCAGAAGGAGGCAGAAAAGCCTCCAGCGTCCCCGGCTCTTCCTCGTTCCCACGCGCCAGCTCGACGATACTGTGCATCGTGGCTGCTGTTTCTTTCCGGGAGTGGACAAACACCATCACCTGTTCGCTATGCTGCACTTGTTTTAAACAATGCGCCAACGTGAGTTTGTTCATCATCAACTGGATCTGCCGTTGTTTACTCATCGTCGCGCCTACTGCTTTCTTCTCCTTCGCCAAATCCTCCTCACTGGCTGTGACGGTAGACAGCTCCGCTGCACTCAACCCCAGCGCCTCCTTCAGACTGGCATTAGTACTCACCCCAATGAACGTTTGATCCAGCGGAACAGGTCGATACGTCGCGTCAAAGAAGAACAAACCTCCTTTCCCGCCGTTCGTAGCTGCGTTCTGCATCCGAGAATCGCCACTGGGGACGTACACGCGAAGGAACGACGCCACGTCCACGTAGTTGGGCAGCGTAGCCGACAGACCGACGATGCGGATCATGCTCTGCGTGCTCTCCACTCGACGGAGTGTGCGTGCCACAATCGTCTCGATGACGGGGCCTCGCTCGTCCGCGAGTAAGTGAACTTCGTCGATAATCAGCAGCTTCACTTGACTCAGCAGCGACTGCTGCGTGCTGGACTTGCGGGTGATGACGTCCCACTTCTCGGGTGTCGTCACGATCACGTGGGTCTCTTCGATCTCCTTCTTCGTGAGCTGCATGTCGCCTGTCAGCTCGCGTACTTTCAGCTTCAGAGCCTTCAGTCTTTGTCCAAATTTGGTCACCACTTCTTGTGCCAGAGCCTTCATAGGAGCCACGTAGATGATCTTCATGTTGGCTACACCGTGACTGGACTCACGGCTGAGCTGGGTCTTGACTTCCTGGAGGATCGTGAGCATCGCCACGTTGGTTTTACCGGCTCCAGTGGGGGCACACACCAGCAGGTTCTGATTGGACGTGTACGCCGCGTTAAAGAGCTTGGACTGCAGCCGATTGAGCTCCGTGATCCCGTGAAACGCCGTCTGTGCAAAGTCTTCGAGACTTGATATCGACACGAGTTTCTCTTCTCTGCCTAGAGCTTTTTTAGCGTGCGCAGGGATGAACACGTGCTCGTAGCCTTTGTAGTGCGTTCTCTTGGTGTTCGACGGCAGAGTAAGCGCCCCCGCCGACGCCAGTTGACCAGCCGCAGCGGTGGAGTCGTATCCTCCCTGCAGAGCTCCAAACTCGCGCTGTACGAGGGACGAGGACTGGAGTCTCCTCTCTTCCTCTGCCAACTCTCTCTGCAGTCTCAGAACTTCTGGATCGTATCCTGCAGCCTCGAGCCAGTTGACTTCTTCGTCGTCGTCTCCATTCTGTCGATTAGCTCGACGTCGAGCTTTCCTCTGTTGACGTTGGAATTGTTGCTCAGCTTCTGTCTGGATACTGAACCCTGTTAAGCGTGCCCCTCCACCCTCGTACTTATCGGCCATCTCCAGCAGTTTCTGTGTGTCCTGCAGCTTCTGTTTGGTCACACTGGCGCTGCTTAATTCTTTTTGGTTCTGCACTGCGAATGCGATGAGCTCCATGCCTTCCACGCCCACAAGACCGAAGAGTTGGGCCTGGACAGTGTCTGCTTCAGGACTGTCCTGCACAGTCTGTAGCACAGACTCGGCCAGTTCCAATGTGGTAAAGAAACAGCTCTCGCTATTGGCTGCTGTGTGTTGAGCACACGCAGCAAGCAGCAGCTCTGTCACGTCCTTTTTGGCTTTAGGTTTCTGGTCCTTTGTCTTGTTCCTTTTGGAGGTCACCACGGCATCTACAGCGCCCACTGCGGCCTCGCGCTCGTTAGCTGCACGCAGAGAATCATGGTCTACTTGCAGGACTTTTAGCAGGTCGCGATGATGTGTAGGAGTCGAGATTTCCCACAGTTTGTCCGACGACAGGAAGGGATCTCTGAATGTTCTGGCTGTAACTTTGGCAGTAGAGGGCGGTGACACTCGCGGAGAATCGGAAATTGTTGCTTTTTGACTGGCAAAGCTGGCTGTCGAGGAGGGGGCAGGGAATTCGGCGCGAAGGGCCGACAGGAACGACGTCATGACCGCGGATCGAGCGTTCCAGTCTGCCAATGATCTTCTGAGACTGCAAGCGACATAAGGGACTTGTATTGAGGTGGATACCGGTACGGTGATGACCGGAAAGAACGCGCACGGAAAAAGTGCTCGACTTTGAGTGATAGTACCGGTACAGGTAGCAGTACTACTGGATCAGTACCGGTATCAAATCTACATTTATTTCTATCTACGGGTGTTTTATTATATGCACCAACCGAACAAGTTCTCGATGTAGCCATCTTGTGTGGAAGACGCTACCGGTATTTTGATAACGCAATGAGAAGTCCTCAATAACAAAGAAGCCATTACAACGGAGAGGATCCCGGAAAATTCTGATATCAAATTTACCGGTACCGGTATTGTAATTCTTCAAGTTTCCAGGCAGCTCTTCGTCGATGGCGTCGGCTTCGTCCTTCAACGCAACTCTGGCCGTGCTTCTGGCTGCCAAGTACTGCCGTCAGTACCCGCTCTTCCACTGGCGAGAAGAGGCGCTGCCATCCATGGGTAGACGCGCCGAGAAGTACTGTTTTCGCGTGGATATGCTCAATCTGCAGCAAGAAAACTGCGGCGAGATGTTGCTGTCGTTACTACCTGCACAATTGAGTCTGTTAGACTTCCAGAAAGAAAACACCTTGTACAAACTGAAAGCTCTGCTCGTCACGCTTAAGGTGCATCTCCTGTCGGTGCTTTAGTTGGCGGAGATTTGGCAATTATCTCACTGCTGTCATTGATCATTTCCTGCAGCACCCATACATTCTCCCCGTTATGGATATATACTACTCCAAGGAAAAGAAGGCTCTGCTGGTAGTACAGCCCTTTGCGTCAAGTGGCAGTATTAAGGACCGCATTTACCAGGTAGACAACCCAGCCAAGCCCTACGACGTCAAATACCGACTGGAGAACGCTCATCCGCTGCCATTTGAAGACATCGCCAAGTTCTCTAGGCAGATCCTGGAAGCTCTAGCAGGATTAAGGTCCAAAGGACTCGTGTGCGACCACATAAGGTCCACAAACGTCGTCATCGAAAATGGTAATGCTAAACTGGCCGAGATTTTCACGCCACTCCTAGCAATTGACCGATACAAGGACAGTCGCGAGCTCACAGTGAGTCTGGAACAGCACATGGACATCGATCTGCTGCTGTTCGGGCATATTCTGTACGAAATGGCTACGGGCATGGAGCTTGTAGCCCCACAGCCAGAAGAAGGCGTGCTCGAGATGCTGGCTCCTGAGATAGCGGAGGTTCTCCAAGCTATCTTCTACTACCCAGACGCTCTATCTCCGCCGGAACCAGAGCTGTCTTCGGCTGAAGCAGAGAACGGCGTGGAAATTGACGACTCTGTATCAGTTAGTAGCACTCTTAGCAGTCGCAACAAGAAGCTTTTGTTCCTTGTCGACGTAGAGAAGATGCTGGACGAGTTGCCGCTATTTGCAGCCAGTGACGTTCCACCGATTCGAACGCTCTTTTCTGGGTTCCGTCTGGACTCGGCTATGAAGAGTTCCATCAAGTACAGTATGCGTATTAGCGCGAGTCGAACGCAGGCTCATATTGTGCACTACAACGACCAGCAGGCATTGCTGCGTGCACGTCAACGTGCTGAACGTCGCGTGTACGAGGAGAAGGAAAAGCAGCAGCAACGTATCCAGCAACTCACACACAGCAAAAATCCCACTAGCAAGGGCAACGCATACAGCAGCAAGACTATACCGACCAGACGAAAGACGTACCGTGCTGACAGCTTCCGCAAGCACGCACAACGCGCATTATCTCTACCTGACAGCACGAAATCTGGCACTAGTGCATCCAGTGCCTAAAAGAGATATATTCGGATTTTTACAGTAGAGCTGCACCGATTCTAATGAATCCTAAAGTGAATTTCTGCAATGCAACTGTAACTGTTAAAACCCAAACGACTAAATTGCGTCCCTCCAGCATAAATTTTGCACCGAGAAATCGCGAAAACGATGTCGTTGTGTGTACTCAACGAGCCAGCGCCGGACATGACGCTGACGGATCTAGAGACAGGAGAACAGAAGCAGCTGCTGGAGCTGGTGGAGAGCTCGAAAAAATACACGATCTTGACGTTCTACGCCACTTGGAGCAAGGCAAGCGAACGTGAAGTTGAGACGATGGAGATTTTCAGTAAAGATCGTCACAACAAACTGCTCAACTTTGTGCTGGTAAATCTTGACCAGAATATCGGAGACGCGTTTGCTTTTCTAGATACGATCGTGGAGCACAGGATCGGCGATGAAGCGATCAAGGGACCGCGTGTGTGTCGATACTTCGGCAACGGGAATGAACCCACCGTCGTGCATTACGGTGCTGCTGAAGTTCCTGAACCGTACGGGCTACAGAGCGTCCCGCACACAGTTGTGATCGACCCACAAGGGACTGTTCTCCGTAATGGTGACAACTTCCACTGGGATGACATTGCTGCTCTACTACGCCATCGCCAAGAAGTGACCGACCCAAGTTACTTGAAGAAAATCATGTCGTGGGCCCTCCCTCCGATTACTGCTTGAGCCGAAATATATGAGCCACACTATTCACAGAATAAAGACAGCAACTCAGCAATACATCGTCATTTATCTCCAAAACCTCAGCAATTATGGTTCTAAGTTTGTGACTCTTCTTCCGTATTCGTGTTCTTTTCTCTCGTAATCAGAAACAATTCACACTCGCCCGTGTTCACCAACTCTTGTAAGAACTGGAAACACGCACTCTCACTCTCAAACGCCTACCAAAAAGAAGAAGGATTCGATTAAACCTTTCATCAAGATATAATTCTTAGCAACACAACGCACCACTGGAGCTTCAAGCTTCGAGTCCAAATTGTAGCAAACGCCTCGAATCTTCCGAATGGCGAACCAGTGTCTCGGCGTCCATAGGCTACTGAGTATCGTAGTCATCACCACATTACACAGAACCCCCTCCGCTTCATCCAAGTTGAACAGGTTCTCATTCACTGGTTGTCGCTTATCTATCCACTGCATCACGTAGCCTAGCAGGCAACGACACGTTGTTTCCGTTTTTTAAGTTTATTTTAACCATATTTTGTCGTTATTTTACCTTTTTGCTGCAATACAAGGGTCAGAGCGTTAACGTCGTAGTTTCCGAGCCCCAATGGGGCTCTGTGAGGGTTCCAGACCCAGTTCATGAAGCCACTGCCAGCGTTTGGGTCAGCTAATGCCGCTAGTTCTACGCAAGCATCATCTAGTGAGGCCTTGGAGAATACGGGGCCTACGTAAAATAATCAGATCAGTGTGTGTATATATCGTGAATCTTAGAGGCGTGAATTACCTTGCAATACGTTGTTGAGCGCGTGAAGACCGCAGCGGTACAGCGTCTGGCGTTCGTGATAGAGTTCCTCCTTCTCAGACATTTTTTTTCGAGAAATACAGCTTTTTATTTTTCAAATGTTTTTTTTAGATCATCAACGTTCAAGATGACTTCAATTTCAGTGAGGTTTCGTAACGATTCAATATAAATGCGACGATGTCAATATATCTTCCGTTGGTTTTCCCTGCGCTCATGCGTATCGAAAGCCGTGGAGGCCAGTGGACAAGACATCATTGTCGTGTTTCCAGCTGAGAACAAAAGTCACTTTCGACAACTTACTCCAAGCAAGGTTATCAACAACTGACTGCACCTTGATCATGGGGAACCGTGGGAGTAAGCCAACTGATGCCGGTGACGAACCACAGGAATATACTCGCAATACAACTCACCCCACCGAGAACACTACCAGTACAAACCCTTTCAAACCCAACAACCGCAGTTGCACCGATGTCCTCTGCTTGCTCTTCTTCGTCGTCTTCTGGGTGGGTATGATCGTTATCGCCGGCGTCGGGTACAAGCACGGCAAACCGCAGCGACTCATCTACGGCACGGACTGGATGGGGCGTACTTGCGGTGCTCATGCTGACAAGACGGATACCGTGCCGGCCTACGACTTCACGGACTACAAGTACATGATCTATCCACGTCTATCCGAAGACCTCAAGGCTCTCGCTGCTGCTGGCTACAGCACCAAACAACTTGCCAGTCCTTCAACCCTAAGAAAACTCTTCGGTGTGTGTGTCCCGTCCTGTCCACTGATCGCCGACAAGGATCTCTACGTACACGCCTACTTGGACTACACAGTACACGAAGACCCCGTGAACGAAGACGACGCCAGTTCTGGCTCCAGTACCGAGTACGAGAATTCCGGTTCTCCTTGGAAACTCGTAACCAACTCCAGCAACGTCTTGTATCGCTGTGTGGAGCTCACAAAGATCGAAGTCACACAAACTGCTCGATGTGTTGACGACTGTACAGATGAAGAAGAAGCGGACCACAAGGCAGGCAAGGTCAAAACTCTGACCTGCGGGACGGACGAGAAGAGCAATCCGTTCATAGATTGTGGCGACAAAAGCTGTGCTGAAGTGATCACTGCTCTACGACCAAGATGTACGAGCTTAGAGACGACCAAAGAAGAGCGTCAGATCGGCTCAACGACCGAGGACCCCGTCACCAAGATGTTGAGTCGTAAATGGTACATGGTGGCTCGTTGGCTCGGCGACCTGCAGAAGGCTGCTTTTCCCATTTTGATCTGCGGTGGGCTGTTCGCTATGATCCTCGGACTCATCTGGCTCGTCCTCCTGCGCTACTGCGCCGGTCTCTTCGTGTGGCTCGTGATCGTACTCGTTGTAGCCATGCAGATCGTAATCACCTTCTTCTGTGCATACGAAGGCAACTTGATCAACACTACGAGCATGCAAAGCACGCTAGGTAAAATGGGTATGTCTTCCGAGGACGCTGTAGCGCTCACTACTGCAACCACGACCTACATCACATCAGCCGGTATCACTGCTGCTGAGGACCAAGCTTACTACTGGGCGATCGCCTGCTACGTCCTCACTGCAATCGACATCCTACTGCTTCTTCTCTTGATCTTCATGTGCGGTCGTATCCGAATCGCTATCGGCATCATCCGAGAAGCTTCCAAGGCGCTACAGTCCATGCCCATGCTCACGCTTTATCCGATCATACCTACGTTATTCGCAGTAGGTCTCGTTGCGTACTGGCTGGTAGCGGCTGCATACATCGCTACATCAGGTAAAGTGACACTAAACGACGTCGCTGGTACTGCTTTCAACACTACAGGAGCCGATTTTGAAGGTGCTGTTCCCGTCAAAATGCAAGAGCATGACACAATGCACTACTTGATGATTTATCATCTCTTCGGACTACTGTGGACGAGCCAATTCATTCAAGCCGCAGCGTACGCCACCATCGCCGGTGCCTTCTGCGAGTACTACTGGACGCTGGACAAGCGTCAAGTGCCTGCTCGGCCGGTATTTCGCTCCATGTGGCGAACCGTTCGCTACCATTTCGGCTCGGTGGCGTTCGGCAGTCTGATCATCGCCATCGTGCAGATGTTCCGCATTGCTCTCGAGTACATCGACCAGAAAATGCGAACGGCTAAGCAGGGAAACGCAGTGGTCAAAGTGGTCATGATGTGCCTCAAGTGTTTCCTGTGGTGCTTTGAGAAGTGTCTCAAGTTCCTCAACAAGAACGCGTTTATCATCATGGCCATGAAGGGCCGAAGCTTCTGTCCGGCCATGAAGGATTCCTTCTCGTTATTGCTGGCCAATGCTGCTAGAGTCGCTACTGTCAGTATCGTCTCGCGCTTCTTGATGATCCTAGGCAAGTTGTTTATCACGGGCTTCTGTATGCTTTTTATGTTCGTCTTCATCCGGTACCCGCCCACACATCTACCGAGCTTCTTCATGGGCGATCTGGCGAGCGTCAGTAGTCCGATCTTCCCCATGTTGCTCACCGGTGTGCTCAGCTACGCTACGGCTTCGTTCTTTTTGGACATCTACGGGACTGGCATCGATACCATCTTGCTCTGCTTCTGTGAAGACTGCAACGTCAACAAATCCTCGGAGCAGTACTACATGAGTGACGAACTGGTGGCGTTCATCGAAGGACCAGCCAAGCACAACGCCTTCCCCGTCTATCAAAAGCAAGGGTCGAATACTCGAGACAACGCAGCAGCCACAGCCCCACCTATCGTACAGACCGGTCCGATGACCAAAATGAAATAAGTTAAAGACAAGTATTTCGTGTTTGCTATTATTTTGTACTTCAGCTCACGGTTCTTAGGTGCAATTTTTCTTTTTTCCCTGTGTCATGTCATGACTACAAAAGAGAGCGAATGATTGGGATCCGTGGAGCGAATAACGATGGACATCGTGCAAATGCTCTGGCGTCCTGCTGCGTGTTGGTACTGTACAATGCAAGTGATCGCAGAAAACGAGCAAAACTGAAGTTCCGCTCCCACCTTCAGCTTCAAAATGCCTCGTCGCATTTTGCACCAGATCTTGAGCAACGATTCTCAAAAAATCAAAGTGACAATACAGATACAGCACTTGTACATACATGTAGATTTCTCGCTGTTTACCCTGCAGTTTGACAGGAGCTTCTAAAGATCATATCGACGATGTCCATTGTCTGAGGTCCACTCTGTTCTGAGACAAAAAGCGTCCTGGGTGGCCGACGGCCACTGGCCGTTGTGACTCCTGTTGATAATGCAATAAATTAAAAAAAAACAATGAGAAAATAGAGAATGCCACGCTAAATTGGAGCAGCGCGGCGGGCAATGACGGCAACGCGTTTAACAGTTGAACATTGTCCAGGTGCAAGTTTGGAAGGCTAATTACGAATTTCAGCCAATCCACGAATACACGAACTCACTCCGCAAAATAGCGATCTGTACCGTTGGGTAGCTCAGTGACCAATTTTCATGTGGCGACGCGCTCAATTAGGCACAAACACGGTACGCCCCTGTCTGTGGGGCTCGAAAGCGTCCGTATCATTTCCCGAGACGCCTTCAGCCACCCGCACGTCGAGACAGTCTCCATCATGTTTGGCCGTGTGCTGCGTAACCCCAAGCTCATGTCGCTGCCAGCTCGTCAGAGCGCGCAGGTGCGTCGTCTCAACCTGCACGAGTTCCAGTCGCTGGAGATCATGAAGGGCTTCGGCGTGGCCACGCCCCAGGGCATCCCGGCCGACACTCCGGCTGAGGCGAAGGCCGCTTTCAGCAAGATCCGCGGCGACCGTGGTGCGTATAATATTCACTTTCTATTGGTCAGCTATAAATAGCAGAGGGGAGATAGATAGTATCTTATTTATCCCCAAAATTGCAGATAAGAGCATTTTTGCTTAACAAAGTATCTTGCATTATGACGATTCAGAGGGAGTGGACGTGGTGATCAAGGCGCAGGCGCTGACGGGCGGCCGTGGCCTCGGTACGTTCAAGAATGGCTTCAAGGGCGGTGTACACATGTGCACTAAGCCCGAGCAGGCCGAGGATTTCGCTAAGAAGATGCTGGGCGAGACGCTCGTGACCAAGCAGACTGGCGCGAAGGGCATTGAGGTGGCCAAGGTTTTCCTCATGGAGCGCGTCTGGATGCGTCGTGAGATGTACTTTTCGATCCTCATGGACCGCGCGTCGCAGGGTCCCGTTATGGTGGCCTCGCCTGCCGGCGGAACCTCCATTGAGGACGTGGCCGAGGCCACCCCCGAGTTGATCTTTAAGGAGAACGTCGACATCTCCACTGGCCCCACAGACGAGCAGGTGGCCCGTTTGGCTAAGGCTCTGGGCGGTGAGGGTGAGGTCCTTAAGAAGCTGGAGACGCAGATCAAGAACCTGTACGACATGTTCATCGGCGTGGACGCCACTCTTGTGGAGATCAACCCTCTGGCCGAGACGCGTGAGGGCGAGATCTTCGCTTGCGACGCCAAGCTCAACTACGACGACAACGCCGCCTTCCGTCACAAGGAAATCTTCGCCAAGCGCGACAAGACCCAGGAGGACCCGCGTGAGGTGGAGGCCAGTGCCTACGACCTCAACTACATCGGCCTGGACGGCAACATCGGCTGCCTCGTTAACGGTGCCGGTCTGGCCATGGCCACCATGGACATCATCTCGCTGTACGGCGGCTCGCCCGCTAACTTTTTGGATGTGGGCGGAGGTGCCACTGAGGAGCAGGTCAAGAAGGCCTTCGAGATCCTGGACGGCGACGACCAGGTCAAGTCGATCCTGGTCAACATTTTCGGCGGTATCATGCGCTGCGATGTGATCGCTGCCGGTATCGTGGCGGCGGCCAAGGACTTGGGCCTGAAGAAGCCGGTCATTATCCGTCTGCAGGGCACCAACGTGGAGCCTGCGCGCAAGATTATCGCCGAGTCGGGCATCAAGATGATTGTGGCCGACGACCTGGAGGACGCTGCCGAGAAGGCCGTCAAGATCGCCGACATCGTCGCACAGGCGGCACAGGTGAAGATTGGCGTGGAGTTCGAGGCCTAAGCGGGCCTAGGAATGTACTACATGTAGCACCAGGGTTTACTCAGGTGAAAGACACCCGAATGCTCGACACAATACAAAACCACTAATAAAAGTCGTGGAGTGCGTAGCGTAGGTGTGCTCATGCCATAAAAAAACATTTTTTTTCAAAGGCAAGAGTTTGAGATTTTACAGATAGTTTAGTGATTCTATCTGTAAAAGTTCGCAATTAAAATGTGCGAGTGAAGAAACTGGATGTGGTTTACTTGGCCTCTCGTCCAGTGCTCATTGTGGTGACTATCCACTCCATGCCTTCTTGCAGCCCCTCGCCGGTCTTGGCGGAGCAGGCCTGGATGTGCCACGTGCGGTCGCGAATGGTTGCCAGGTTGAGTGCCGTGGATATTTCACCAGAGGGCAGAGCATTCAGCAAGTCCTGCTTGTTGGCGAACACGAGAATAGGCACGTTGGAGAGCTTCTCTTCTTCCAGTAGCGTCACGAGCTCCATGCCGGTTTCCTCAAGACGGCGCCGATCCGCACTGTCGATCACGTAGATCTACATAGTAACAAATACATTAGTGGACTAGTAAATGCTGCCAATAATGAGTTACAACGTACCAAAGCGTCAGTCTGCTCGTAGTAGTTCCGCCAGTACGGACGGATGGTCTTCTGGCCGCCAATGTCCCACATGTTGAGCTTGAAGCCGTCGACCTGAAGACTCTTCACGTTGAAACCTTGCGTAGGCATGATGTGACTGATGTCCTCTTCCGAGAGTTTCTTAAGGATGGTGGTCTTGCCACCATTATCCAGTCCCAACACGAGGATACGCGCCTCACTGTCATCCTTCTTGAGCTTGCGCAAAAGGTTCAGCAGCCCCATCTTAGCTTCTTTGTCTTGTTAGCGAGTTCTTCACAGGGCGAGCGTCTTAGATCTTTTTCGAGAGTAAGAGGCAGCGCCGCCGACGAGCGGTCATGTAGCTGAATTGAGCGATCCGTTTCGAAACGACGCTTGAAGCTGAAATCGGTGAGTCCAAAAATAAGTAAAATTGATGTGGTTACCGAAAACGAGAGCTAAATTAGGGTTTTCCACATTATAATTGGTGCGAAATTGATTGGCTGTGTGGATTTCCGCCAAAACCGAACAGGGGTGGAGTCGAGCTCATTCGTCAATTAGAAGAGCGGGAGGCAGCCGTATGCTAGAATTTTTCTTTGGTCTGAAGTGACCTGGGGCTCAAATGATGTTCGCAAAATACCAAGATCTGCTCTGAATCTTTGTGAGGAAATCCTCTCGGTAACTCGAGAGACGAATGCACTGATGAGCCCACGAACAATCGAACTACCTTCGTGGTTTTTATTAAAAAGTGGTGTACTCTGTAATGCGGCTTCAGTGGCGACACAAGTTGCTACGCACACCAGGATTGAACGATTTATAGTACTACGTAGTAAGTCTTGAGCTTAAGGGTAGAGCTGTGCACCAGCTATGTAAGCTGAACTCCTGCTGTGTCTAGCCCGTATGATATTATAATATTACCGGTCAGGAATGCAATTGTATCTGCTGCTGGTATGGCTTTACGGCGCATGAGCATCGACCAGTCAATGCTCATAGACGTTGATTTACAAGCTCGAAGTGTTTGAAGACATGCAAACACATCTCGCGGTAGCTTCGCAGCCGCTGTAAGAGAAAGCACAAATTGGCGCTCGTACGATTCCTTTCGATCCTTGCTGTTCCCTTATTGCTCAATGTTTGTGGTCGTCCGCCGACCCCAAGATAACCCCGTCACTCAACAGCAACGTGAACCCTGTGACTCACAGCATGTAGTCACGCAGTAGCTGAGGACGTACAGGTTAGGTTGTTCACTTTGTCTTTTCCCTCTTTGCCGCAACTAGCAATGCGTGCACCGGTCCAAACTCACGGACACAGCCTCCTGCCGGAGCAGTTGTCGTCGACGCTACTGGCGCGTACGCCGGTAGCTTCAAGACCGTCTCGGAGGGCGTAGCTAATGTCCCCAACACGACGGATGAACACACTCTCTTCCTGGTTCCTGGGGTCTACCACGAGCAAGTGACAGTGTTAAAGCTGAATGGCCACTTGGTGCTCCAAGGTTACACGTGCAACACGATGGACTATACTCTAAAAAAAAGTGACCATTACCCATACAATGGCACAAAGAGATCTTCCTGCCAATGCGACTGGTGCGCTCAACCAACTCGTCAGTACGCTGCTGTTCAAGTCGAAAAGTGGCGTGAAAGTGTACAACCTCAACGTCGCTAACCCGACTGGGAAAATTAAAACACTTGGCCAAGCGGTAGCCACCTACATTGACGCCCCCAACTACGGATTCTACGCCTGCAACTTCACCGGTTACCAAGATACCTTGTGTGCTAACAAAGGACGCGAGCTCTTTGCCCGGTCGTATATTGCTGGCGCTGTTGACTTCATCTTTGGTCTTCAGTCCAGGGCGTGGTTCGAGTCCTGTGCTTTAGAGTCAATTGGAAAGGGCTGCGTCACTGCTAACGGCAACACCAACAGCTCCAATCTGTCCGAGTACGTTTTCAACAATGCTCACGTGTTCAGCTCTAATGCCTCGATGAACGGAACGGCTTACCTTGGCCGCCCGTGGTATCCCTACGCACGTGTTGTTTTCCAGAACAGCAAGCTTGGCGACGTCATTAACCCACAGGGATGGCAGCAATGGAACAAGGACAACAATACCGCTAACGTCTACTTCAAAGAGTACAACAACCGTGGACCCGGTGCATCTACGGATCGACGAGTCGCTTTGAGTGGTGGGTGGACACCACGTTCTTGTAGAGCATCGCTCGAGATGACGAAAGACTTGATCGTAGTCTTGAATTTCTTCTTTTCATTTTAAAATGCGTCCGAGAACAAAATAGACGTGTACAGAGTTTTGAATCAAAAGTCCCTCATTCGTATTCCAATTTAAATTCTTTCTCATCGACGTATCTTGTTTTCACCAGTCGGCGTCTGGACGTTGTCTACGCTCAAGAGACTTCCGGCGGTCCCCGAAACCTTCGCCATCATCTTCACTCAGTTCCTCCAGCGTCATCGGATGTGCCATCTTCACATTCTCCTCAGTCAGTGGCAATGGCCCAAAAGATACCGACCGACGTCGACTGTTCTTCACGGACGAGCTGGCCTGCGAGTCGCTCTCGAACGACCACGCACTCACACTCGACTCGGCGATCGTCTCCTTCTCGTCTTCACCGTCGTCTACCTCTACGCCCGACGGAGCTACACGTAGTTTCGGGTAGTCGCTCTCATTCATTTGTCCAGTGGCGGCGGAGTCCACGTCCATGTCAATGTCCTCGTTGACCTCTGCGAAGTCGCTCGGATCGTAGTCGCTCTCACTGGCGCCACTGTACTCTTCGTCGTCTGCGTTCGCGTCCTCGACGTATCCTTCCTCCTCGTACCCGAGTTCGGACGCCGACAGGAACGTGGTCTTGGAGCACGTGGCCACCATGGACTGGATGAGGCTGTTCTTGCAGTTGAAGACCACCATGGCTTCATCCGCAGCAGTCTTCTGCCCCTGCAGTGCCCGCTTGACTCGCACACGTGAGCGCATCGTGCGCTTAAGATTGCGTAGTAGAACACTCTCGCGTTGGTCTTCGCGTCTCAGCAGCTTGAGTTCGTCCGCCAGATCCTTGAGCAGATCCGGCTGACCGAGTGTCTGAGCCTGCTCCAGATCGTCCTGCAGCTCACGCAGCTGCTCGACGCGTTGGCGTTGGTTGATCACGTTCTCCACGATGTGCGCGCGCAGTAGCTCCGTCTCGTCGGCTACGGCCTGCAGACGCTTGGCCAGACGCTCGCGACGACGACGCATGACGTCGCCCACCTGTTTACTGGAGAAGGCCACGCACTTGAGCGCCTTGAGCACCTGCTTGGAGTTCTCTACCGGGTCGTCCGAGGCTGTGAGCTGGGGGATGGCAGCCATGGGCGACATCCAAGAGATGGCGGTGGTGGACATTTGAATTGCAGAAGAATAAATGAAAGAAGATATGAAGCGTCCCGAGATCCCGATCGGACCAGGAGGCGACTCTCTTCGTGTCAAAAATCGGAAGTGCTGCTGTGCGGTCGACAGCGACGGAAGGTTGTCCCGGTCATCCTAGACTGCACTCGGCGGCGCGTTTATTGCAACCGCTTGAAGCGCCATCTTTGCTGCAGGGTGGGGCAACTTGCGTTTTGTAGGCCGAAGGCTTGGTGGGATCTTTTATGTGTAATTGTCAAAAAGAAGCGGCGTGGTTTTACGTGTTTTTTCCGCCAAAACACGCTGTCAGCAAGCTAGGTTCAGCCTCTAACTTTTATCCTTTTAATAGAACACGCATTACAACCACTAATATTTTTAAAAGAGAACGAGCAATATATTCGTGAAGGGTCGCGTAATTCCACTGGAATAAAGTTGAGGAATATCGATCGGTAATGTATCCGTCATTTATTCAGATTTTATCTAGATACTCGTTACTGTAGAACATTTGTGCATCCAGACGTTTTGTACATCAGGACACTATAATCGGCCAATCGTAGTGATACAGAAATTAGAAAAACCTCACCATTGACCATTTGTTTAAACGGACAGGCCTATTTTTATTCATAAAGGGTTGCAGAAAAATCGAGAGGGCGCGCAAAACCGATTCAACGCTGGTCCTCAACATGGCGCGCGGCAGGAAGAGAACCCCATGTGGTCGTGGTCGTCGGGCGAATCAATACTCTCGTGAATGTGAAAGCTACACTAAGAAGCTAGCCGTCATAGACTTTTTAAAAGACAACAATATGCAAGAAACTCTCGACAAATTCTACAGCCATCTTATTTCGTCCAAAAGGGAGTCCAAGCGTAAGCGCATATATGAATGGGAGAAATCGAGGGCACATATTGAAGCCATGGTTGCGTGCTCAGCCACTGCGAATCTAAAGTCGGCTAGAAAAAAAGGAACAGCAACAACTTTGTCTCCTACCGCGGAAGAAGGTTTAGTGGAGTGGGTCAACTCAATGCGGGGTGAAGGTGTTCCTGTATCGAGACTTATGCTGCAGCTACAAGCTTTGCAGATCGCTAAAGACATCGGCGTGCCAGATGGTATTTTCGAGGGACGATGGAGCTGGCAGCAAGGATTCCTCTCGCGTCACGGACTTTCACTGCGAGCTAAGACTCGCCAAGGGCAGAAATCTCCTGCCGCAATGGAAGAAGCCGCTCAGGCGTTCTGGCAGGAAGTGGAAGACACGAAGCGTGAACTTGGTGTCAATAAAGTCTACAATGCTGACCAAAGTGGGATATTATTCAAATATTTACCGAAACAAACAATCAGTAAGAAGGGTGCAAAGACAGTCTGGGTAAGGTGTGGAGGAAAGGACAAGGAACGCTTCACCGGTATGTTCCTGGCTGATTCTACGGGGAAGCAGTACGATACATTCTACGTAGTGTAAACCGAGCCTTCAAAAATCCCAGAGAAAGCTGCATATAACTACATCGCCCAGCACGGCTTTGGCGATAAGCTTTGGCCATCAATGAAGGACGCTCAAACACAGCTTGGTGTGCAAATCTATGGCAACAGCTCTGCTTGGTGGAACTCCGACCTTTCTGTCGCATTTCTGGACTACCATTTTGCCAGCAGAGACGAAGCAGAACTAATTCTTTTGCTTTGGGATGACTTCTCGGCACATTGGACCGATGAAATCAAAAAGCATGCAACGTTGCTCAACGTTCATCTACTTAAGGTTCCCCCTGGACTTACTTCAGTATGCCAACCAGCAGACATTTCGTGGTTCCGTCCTCTTAAGCAGCGCTTACGAAGGCAATGGGTGAACTTTTTATCACAGCAATTGAATGATTACTCCGCTGACGGCTCCCATGGGAAATTCGAGCTTCAGCCTCCTTCAAGACGAGAAGCAGTGACTTGGGCAACGACTGCATGGAAGCAGTTAGGCGAAGTTGTTATCAAGAGTGGGTTTAACCCGCATACAAAACGAGCTATGACTGAATTTGCCGAAAACGATGTTATTGAGCAGATGGAGAGTTTGCAGTTGATTGACGACGCTGTAACAGTTTGCGACGACGACGATGTTGTGGAGCACTGTCTTGATGCATCAGATGGTAACCCATCCAGCATCAATTGATAGATGTGCAAGCTGCATACATACATAAACGTAATCTTGCCTACCTATAAGGTTTTTCATTTTGTATGCAATTTGGTCTGTCCGGAAGCACAAATGTTCTACAGTATTCCAAGCCTTGCGTTATTAAAACTCTCTAATAGTGCTACATATGACTCTCCGAATTTTTGTCTGATCTGAGAGGATAAAATCTGTTTTTCTACTGGCTCAATTATGAGCTCGCCTCGTTTTATGCACGAAAAGCAGAAAGCCTGCCAACCAGCAACCCTCACCAACCAACCAAACACCCGTTTGCCGACGATATGCTCGGCATTCTGCCTTCTGCGGTCAAAACATAGACATTACGAGCCATCACGAAGTTAAAATGACTTTTCTTTAGATCTGAGGTGGTGTGCTATTGTACTCACCTACCATCTATTAATAGTGAGACTCCTTTCAGAAATACCTAGCAGCGCAGCCACTACACACTCAGCTGTATGTCATACGCATACCAAAGATTTCAAATGGCAGGCAACGCTGACAAGAAGGCGGCTGCCGAAAAGAAGTCAAGGAGGTCTAAAGCGGTTTGTTCGTTTGTATCGGAATACGTGAAGCATCATGGATGTTTTTAGTTTGAAGAGCTTCGCAAGGCGAATTTAGCTAACGCTTCTAGTGGTCTATGCCTGTCACATTCTACAATTTGTGCGCCCTGCGCTTTGAACTTGGGTTAGCTCGTAAAGTACGGACAAAACCAATCCGAACAGCCAAACACCCAGTAGTTAGCTCAATATCAAACAAAGTATACAGTCATTAAGTAAAAAAATGTCAGCACAACGGTCCCAGGGCGCGCACTCACCACGGCGCCAGATACGGTCTGCTGCGTCACTCAACATGTGGACAAGCTGAGCGTGTGTCTTAGCTTGCTGTAGCTACAATCAGAACAGTCAAACACATATTAGTTAGCGCACACTACCTCACAGCTGAGGCATGTTCTCGTTGTATGTATCGTACCGTGTTGCGAAGTGGCTCGTGAGTGTTTATGGGGAATGCCCGGTACCGCTACCAGTATATTGGTCGTCCAAATTATTGTTGCTGCATTACACGGTTTGACACATCTTACTTACGACCCAAAGTCCAAATTAAAAGTCCAATTTGACTGGCAAAATCGAAGAAAGGCATAATATATCTATTGCTTATCAAAGCAAAAAATTAATAAATGGGTTAGAGAGCTGGCTTGACCAAAATAGATTTTTGAGCTTCCTCAACTCAGAAAATAGGTTATTGGTGCTCGAACGTTATTTCTAGTATTGAGCGCTAACTTGGGGTAAATAGAATATCTCCAGCGGTAGGTCTCAAAGGCAGTTTTATCGAAAGTAGCGTTTTTAGGACTCGAAAGAGTTTTTTTTGGTCCAAGCGGTAGGACCTATTGGTGGTTTATCTTCACGGGGATCGATACTTGGCGCTGCGGTCTTTATTAATAATTAATAGTCGAAATTCAAGCGGTGTTGACTTGATTTCACTATTGCGTATCTTCAGCCAAAAGAAAAATGCCAATTGCACTGCGAAAATGGATTGGTACTGTAAATTCCGATCGTTTTTTTTTTTGGTCCTGTTCAATTAATCACTCGCATACAAACTTCCTTGTATTTTTGAAACGGTCCATACCGTAAAAATTCCAACTGTCCGACCGGGTTCCAACCTGATACCGGTACGATCTGCCAGTTAAAAATCGGACTTTGCGCGGTACATGTGTTACACATAATAAAAACAAAATTAAAAAATCCCTTCTCTCTGAGGGCCCACAGCCATTCTACAAACCACGGCCACGAGCGCGCAGCGGTGAGGGCGGAGCGCAATTCTACGGCCCTCCTGCGACCTCAAGGCCTCGGTCGCACCTCTACGCGCGCGGCATCACTACCAGGGACTCACGCCTCACTACTCCCGCCGTTGCCGTCCCCGTAGATGAATCATGTGAAGTGAAATAACCCGTAAGGGCGAGCGGAATGCTGCAGGATGCGGCCGAAGACTATCTACGACCTACATCGAGGCCACACTAGTATTACATATGGTAAGTCTTTGCTGCTGCATAACATGAGTGAGCATGTCGTTTCTAACTTGCTGTTGCAGCTTTGTTTGTAATATAAGACAATGCGTTAGTGCGGAAGCTGTTATCTATTGCCAGGAATTATACTGTTCAAAGCGTAAGGTGAGATCTGGTGCTGTTACTTAGCTGTACTATGTGTACTACAGGTTCAGCGCTTGGGGGGGGTTTGTTACGAATGAATTTTGGCAGCGCCGAAGGTGGTGTTGGATCGACAACGTCACCACGCTCAGCACGCTCGTGGAACTGGGTTATATGTGCGTCAAGCCTTCCAGTCTTGTGTAGATTGCGAAGGGCTTTCAGTGCCGTACCCTCTGCTGCTGCTGAGGACCCGTTCGTCTTCAAGAAGTCCCGCGTGCTCACTTGCGCTTTCTTACCAAGCGCGACCACCTCACTCTTGAACGCAGGAGACGAAGCATCAAGTAAAAATCCATGAGGTAAGAAAAGCATCATGTAGTTTGCGGTGTGTCTAAGCTCGTACAGCGTCGTTTTCTTCACAGAGCGCGAGGCATAAACGCGGGGCTCGGCCGTAAACCATTCGTACCAGACTGCTGCAAGAGACTGCGAGCCCTTCTTCTTCGGACGAACAGTTCGGATGGCAATTTGTTGGTCAGGCTGTGATACACAACCCGCAACAGTTTTGGCTGGAGCCGACGGTAAGTGCAATTTCGCCTCTACAGCTAACAGTCGTTCCTCTAGGCGCTGATTTTGCAGGATTAAAACGCTGATCTGCTCGGACTGGCGCTTCATGAGGCTTAACATCTCAGCAGAGTGAGAGTCGCTAACGCTGGGCTTGGTTATCGCTGATGGTGGCATGAAAGTACGGCGGATTGTGCTGCTCCATGCAAGTACTTCCGCTTCCCCGATGGCTCGTGCTGACATGGCCGCCCGAATGCGGGCAACCAGTGCTCCTTCGCGTGAGAGCAGCAGCATGTCGGGGTAGTGCATGATGAGGGTGGCTGACAAGACCTCTGCTACGTCTTCGTTTAGGTTCATGCCAGGCTCTGCAAAGCCCAGGGAGCTCGTGAAAAGTAGACCATGCAGTGCTTGGGCGCGGAACAGCACAGACGGCTCCAAGATACGCAACGAAGGAAGACGTGCGCCTTCTTTTGGTTTCCATCCGCTCAGGACACGCGCAACTTGCTGATCTGCCTGCGTTGTACCCAACATGTACCCAAACGCCTTATTGACGCGGTCAAGCTGCCAACCGCCCCGCTCTATAATCCAGTTTTCTGCAAGAGTTCCATCGCTGGCGTGCATGGCAGCTCCTCGACGAAAAGAGTGGGAGGTAAGTCCTTGTGTGAGTTTGACCTGCTTCTGATCTGCAATGTTCTTGACTCGAACCAGTAATCGGTTCACGTACGCTTGTGCACCAGAAACCGATCTGGTAGCTGGCGACTGTTGCAGGTCTGGCAAGGATGCGGGGCTGTCGTCTGCCTCGAGAAGATCTACGAGACTGAGGTCTTCTACATCGCCAGCATTAGCTCCGATATGCCTTGTACTGGTAAACTGAGGAAATAGACGCTTGCTTGGCGCATTCTGTATGGTTAGAGCAGCAGCTAAAACGAATAGTGGACAAGTTAAAAAACTTGTCGGGTCCTTGAACAAGGATACACCTTGTAGCAAAGCTGTTTTAATCCGCTTAAAGCGTAGGAAGAGTACGCCACCTACATATTGCAAGGTTCCAGTTAGCGTAATTGTCAATATATAAAGAAATAAAATAGTCAATGATCTTACCAGGTAAAATCGAGAGCTGGTTTTTTTCAAGTTGCTCTGCGTCCGAGCTACGTCCGTATAAATACCACAGCATCACAACCAGAGCTGCATCCGGATAGATACTCTCAGCAGAATCAGAAGTATAAAGTAGGCGAGCGATATTTTCTAGATCTTGCTTGGAACACGGTGGAGCTTTCTTTTCAAAAGCCCCATCCTCGCGATTGGTACAGTTCTTACCAAGCCCAGACAGGATCTTCTGCAGCTGGGGCTTTACTGTCCCCCCTTGCTGTGGGTATTTATCTATCAACCAGTTCTTTACGTTTCCGAAATAGGCTAGACATGTATTGGTAGATCGAGTTTTGTCTGTCGATCTAGCTATTGAATACGCATATTTATCTAGCACAATTCGAAGTACCCTACCGGTCTTGTCAGCGTCGATAAGCTGTTGAACATGCTCTAGTGTGATGTTTTCTGAAGAAAGAAACGTGCTGAACGAGTTGATCGCCGTCACCCGGGCCTTCTTACTGTTAGGTGGCGCTAGCGACGCGATAGACATGGTCACAGCTCTGCAAAATGATGTATTTTAGGAAACAGCTGCCAACCGCCACCTCGGGTTGGAAACTTCCTGATATGTTTAGTATATGCAACTATATGGATATTTGTAAAGAGTACAACATATTCTGAAAAATTCCAACTGGATATGGTCGGATTGGTAGGAATTGGTGGTTACTTTTTAAGACTTCGTCATTGGATAAAATCACATTAATCTTGCAATCTAATTGGTGAATTGGCTGAGTACAGTTCTTCATGGACGATGCATGGTTGGAATCTTGCGAATATTATACCATATCGTACTTAGCTCCAATAAAATTTATCCTTAAAATGAGGATGAATTGAGTTTTATCCCCGTCGACCCATCATTAATTCGTTGGGTGACAGAGCCACTGTGGTGTGTCTTCCCGAGTTATATGCGTACACCGTGAAGCTCACCCAGTTATCCCAATCGCACTGCTCGTCAAGGTGCATGTACGTGGAAACACAGTCCTTCCACGTACGATGAAAGACGGCATGGAAAAAATAAAATAAGATCATTAATATGGGTTTTGTCTTTTTACGGAATAGCTGATTATTGCTTAAAGGCGTATTGGAATTATTATAATTGCACCTTTTAAAAAGAGAAATAAATTTAGATTTAACAGGCTGACAACAAACATGGTAATTATATATTAGTTGCAATAATAGCTGTTTTTTTGTACTCAGCACCGTTGAGTGGTTGCATACCTGTTCAGCCGGATGTACAGCGGCTGCAATGGATATGGCTGCGGGCAGGCATAGGAAGTAAAATCTTTTATCATACTTTGCTCGATTATAAAAATAATAATATCCAGATTTCAATTACAAATAATTCCGTAGTGTAAATCAGTCGAAGCGTATTGACTCTCTGCCAGAAATTTATTTCTCCAGACTTTGCCCTCCACGACTCATCGACACATCAAGTATCCGTTTTGAAGTACATTGAGCACGCGACAGATACTCGAGACAATACCTATTTCAAATTGCAACCAAAGGATCAAAAACCAAAACAGAAGAATTAAACCGGTTTGTAAACACATAAAAAACATCAACGTTTAGCCTAAAACGTCTCTTAGGATGTGATTAAAGCAACTGAGGATTTTTAAATCTCGAGCAGGAGAGGAAGCACGGAGACATTATACTTCAGCGAAAGTCCTGTTCTGGTTACAATAATAGTATTCTAAAGTCAAATGTTTTAGGAAAATTATATCAGTTTCGATCAGTTTTAGAACCGTTTTCCCACTTTGGTCGGACTTTTGTGAATTGCATCTTCACGTATCAATAATACAAACGAGCGAGCATACATGTAGTACGTGTGACGAGCATAATATGCATAATATGCAAAGGGTTGGGCTCGTACGGCAATATGACTGTGGTGGCTATAACGATTACTGTTTTCAATCTAAAATTTCGCTTAAATTTGCGCTTTCTAGCTACATAAGCTTTACAATTTAAATATTCCATACAATAGTACTACGTTGTTGTTGTAGCATCTGAATACGCACCCTTTGATATTTTCTTGCATCAACGACACTTCTCAAGAAAAAGTAATACATTGGCGAAAAGGGAGTTCAAAAGTTCGTTATTCGATCTCTCATTTGGACAATCCGTTACGGTTAAGCTAGATCCTGGTCCTGTTGCATCTGCATCGCTGAAACTTGACATATCCCTCACTTACAAGGGAACCCTTCGTTGCAACTCTTCGAGCAGCAAGAGTCGAAGCTGCCCGGTTGTTTACGGCAGCACTCACTGGTCTCGATATTAGCAGGTGAATATATGTTCAGTGCGCATCCTTTCGCCGTGCAGAACGGCTGCGCGCTACTTAGCGTGGCGAACACCGCGGCAACACAAAGAAAAACGTAGGTCTTGACGTTCATCTTCAGCAATCTTGCGAGATACCGACGTGAGCTTGACTTAAGAAATAGAGGAATGAACTTATGCTCTTCCGAGTCGTCAACGGTTCCCAGGAAAGAGTACAGTAAAAAAGAAACGTAAGTCGTAAACATGTGTTACGAGGTAGCCTTGTCACTGGGTGTTCGTATGTGACCTGGCGGATCAGATTTCGAGAGTTTTTCTTTCCATGTAGCTTACTCTGGGTGCTCCAAAACCCGTATGACACGGTCGATCGGTAATATAGAATAATCGGTTTAGTGCGCACCAAAAAAACGTGAAGCATAATAAAGCTCAGTCTAATGTTTAATCACGTTGCAACTTAAAAAAGCCGGATTACTATTGTTTAATGAGTCCAAAAAGTGATCTTACCAAACAATTCGTCGTGATTAGACTTTAATGCGGGTTTTTTAATTAGTGTTTTGGAAGACACAGTGGACGTTTCATGTCGTAAGGTCTTAATACACTACAGTAGCTACGGTATTTAGTCTCACTCATACTAATTTATGTGAGGTGCTGCAGACTCTGCTCACCTAAATTAGTATGAGTGTGGTTAATTATGCACTCTGACTATTTAAGGTGTGGTAGAATTAGTCACACTTAGACTAATTAATGTCTCACCCTAATTAGTCACACTAGTTTACGATTGTTGAGAAGCTGGTCTGGTTATTCTTTTGTTTTTTTGTGTGTTTGTTTGCCATATCCAATGGAACCGCTTGTCCAGCAAATTGATCTGGGAACTTCTTGATGATTACTTGAAGGTGGCTGAATAGCTGTTCTGTTCTCCATACACCATCAACATCCAGCGAGAGTCCGCATCGAATCATGGCTTTCCGAGCGTAGTTCACATTATTCTTGTCCCTTTGAGAGTTGACTTGGCGTACTGCTTTAGCAGCCAGGGACAGAAAAAATGCTTTCCTGGATTCTTAAGTTTTCCTGACCAGGTTCCATCGGACCTCTTTTTGTTTTGCCATGCCTCCTCCTCAATCAACTCGATCTTTTTCTCATTCCACATTCGACGCCACTCGTCCTTTATCTTTGCGATAATGAATGAGTCCGCCGGCTGACAGAGATCCGTTGCGTTTGCTGGAAAGAAGGCTAAAGAAGCGTTTAACTTCTGAAGCTCTTCAGTACACTCGTCTTCCTCGAGGTGACTTGAGCAGTTATCTAGGAATATAGTCTTCTTGCGACCTAAACGATCCGGCTTTTGAGCTCGAGGCTCTTTCAGATACTCGCAAAAGAGACGTTTGTCCATCCAGCCCTTCGGCCCCGTACGATAACACACTCCTTCCACGTCATCCTTAACTCCACGAATTGGATAACTACGGTCTGCGTTCGTAAAAATCATCATCGGGGGCAAGATACGTGCACTTGGCCCACCGCTGATTCGCACGACCATTGTCATTCCATCCCCTCCGGATACACAACATCCGCATATTTGACCTGGTTTTCGCCTCCAAAACCGAGAGTCTTGCTGTTGTCAAAATCTACAACGAAATGAGTTTCATCGATGTTTTCAATCGCATTCTCGTCATACAAACCACTCTCAAACCCACGCTTCAACTTGCCAAAGGTGATAGGCCACTTGCTTCTCAATATCTTCAACCTTCTGAGGGCTCACCAGTCGTTTACCTGTTGCCGCACGAAGTACTATGTTGTTGTTCTCCATAAAGGTTTGCACCCAGCGTGAAGTGATCTTTGTTAACAGCTCAGCCCCGTTCTCATCAGCCTTTGGAGCTTGAGGATCCTGGAGGATACGCTTAGCTACTTGACGTAGCAAGGATGCGTCGAACTTCAACCCCAATTTACGTAATCGATCAAACTCGCTTAGCAACAAAGGATATATCCAGAGCACCCACTTGCTCCGAGGACGACCTCGGCCGGACAAAGCCTTAGAGGTCACTCGCTTTCTTCTTCTGATCGTAAGCTCGACAGTGACACAGAACCCCGGAGTGGCGCTTGAAGTTGCTCTCGATTCTTCCACCAGGCCATCGCTTTGCTAAGGTTAGCATTGCGAGTAGACGAGTTTAAAATATCAGGAAATTGATCTACAGTTCTCGCGAACATGTTCTTCGCTCCCTTTGCTTTTTCATATTCTTCCATCCAGGAGATGACACGACGGCGATGCTGGATGGTGGTAACCTGTTGTGACACTCGAGATGATGTTGACGTTGGCAACTCAGTCACGACCACATTGGAAATAGAGATTATGTCGTCTTCAGAGCTCTCTTCTGAGTCGTCATCGTTGGCATCATCCTTCGAAGAGATCGAATCTTTTGCTCCCTGTAGCGCGAAAACTTTTATGATAGGAGGAGCTGATATAGCTTGAGGTTTGCCTGAATCACAGTCTGGACAGAGAACATGCTGTCCAAAGCCCTCTTGTCCGACAGGCTTCCCACAAAATGGGTGCATATGAACAGAGCAGATTGGGCAGACGTGAATAGGACCAACGAGGTCACCACAGCCACCACACGGGGAAAGTTGAGCTGAGTTGGAGCTCATTAAAAGACAGTTCTTAGAGGGAGAAGAGGCGTTGGTGTGTTGGAAGGGTTTCTGGAATGAGAATAGACCACATTAGCCTCCAAAAGGCGTTGGTGTGTTGGAAGAATTTCTGGAATGAGAATAGACCACATTAGCCTCCAAGAGACGCAGTCACATAAAAATAACATTTCCAATTATAAAATATCAAATACTCTTCAAATAAGCTTAAGGAAACTGCATAGCTATTATTCTATTAAAAGTATAATTCATATCCTTAAAAAACATAACCCGCTGCTTCGTAGTGTGCCGCGTTGAGGGTAAGTGGGAAACCCACTTTTATTAAATGACCTGTTATTGCATCACCAGTAAAACGCGAGCTCCGTCCGTTGCTGCGGAGGGACTCGAACTCACGCCAGGAGTGTAAACCGGGCCAGTCTTTTCCACTGCGCCAATTCGAATGCCCAAAATAAGGTGATACTAATTATGAACTCAGACTAATTTTGAACACGACATTTTCTTGCTCACGGTAATTAGTCTCACATTCAAACGGTGTGACTAATTTCGAACTGTGACTATTTATTCACACAGACTAATTACCGTAGGCACTGTAGCGCCGAGAAGACGGTCTTTGAAGCAGATCGACTCGGTATACTTTATGAATCCCTAAAAGAAAGCAAAAAAGGCCCATTGGTACCGTGACGGGTATTACCGGTAATTGCATCGACAGCGCGATATAAAAGTTGCAATCCTGTATTACGTTGTAGCTTTATCGAAAAAGCTTCATTGAGAGTTGTAAACATGTATTACGACGTTGCCCTGTCACTTTCGGCTAAGAACACTTTGCATTTCTAAGTTTTGAGTTCAAGTATTATAGATTGCCTTTTAAATACAAAAACTCGAGCCTCCTAATCATAATAAAAGCTTAATACCGGATGCTGCTATGTTTCGCATTTGGGCCGCTGATTGATAATAATTGGATGCCTACGACAAAAAGATGGTTACAATGCTTCTAATCACTAATCAGCTAGCGTTAATTTGAGTTTTTGGCCTTAAGATTGAACTTTGAGGCCCTACATTTCCGGACAGAAGAAGTATGCAACATCCAAACCTGCAATTTGCGCGAATCCAGATCCACCCGAATAGTTTTTAAAAGGGATCGGGGGGGGGGGGACTGAAAGGGTCAAATTGGCCAGTTTCAAAAGTAGTTTGATCTTTAGGCCGGTTCCTAACGGGATCATCTTCGGAGCATGATCCGCTAATTATACATCTTATTGGCTGATTAGAATACATATGCTGACACCGGACAGCTCTTGTGATCTCAAGCTGAGATCATCAGTCATATTCAGATCACGGGTCACAGCATACTATCAAGGCAGAATTATGAAGGTCACTACTGCTATCGTTTGTGTTGCGGCAGTTGTGGTCGCGAACGCAGTCCGGCTAAATAGGCGATCTAACGTTGTATCCCGCAAGCGGCTCAATTGGGAGTTACACCGCGATCGGTTAGTAGAGGAAGGACAGCTCGAGCGCTACTACAGAATGGATGTCGTGTCGTTTGAAGAGCTTGCAGAATCTATCCGACCCGTGCTTGAGCGTGACGAAGTGAAGTCAAAGAATCGAACTAGTACTCATCCAATATCGACTGCGAACAAAGTCCAAATGACTGTATCGTGGCTGGCAGGAGGCTTTTATCATTCTATAAGGGCTGTTGCAGGTGTCAGCAAGTCCGAGTTTTACTCTACTATTATCGAAGCTATGGAAGCAATTTGTGCTCATCCGCGATATCAAATAGTTGCCCCTGTATACGACTCTACTTCCATCCAGCGTGCGTCGTCAGATTTTGCTGATATCAGTAAAAACAATATTTTAACGGGGTGTGTTTGATGCGTGGACGGATGGTTGTGTACTATAAAAGCCCCAAGTACTCGAATAGTACCTGACAGGTCTGCCTTCTTTTCGAGACACTATCTCCGCCAGGGGATCAATGTCCAGGCGATGTGTGATTCGCATGCAGGTTCACTGGTTATTGCTTCAATTCTCCTGGAAAGGTCTCTGATAGTGCTGCCTTTAAGAAGCGGCCCTTGCACCTAGCTATAGCTAGTCTGCCTTTTGGATATTATGTCATTGGAGATAACGCATATCCGTTGTCGTCGACGCTACTGGTGCCTTTCACAAAACTTGAAATCAAATCGAGTGAATATTCGGACTACAATTTTTATCTTTCTCAGCTACGCACACGAATAGAAATGACTTTTGGTCTTCTTGCTAACAAGTGGCAAATTTTTAAGCGTCCCCTAGCTGTTGACTACATTCATGCAGGGCTTGTCATTAAAACCTGCATGAATCTGCATAACTACTGCATTAATGAACGCATTGGTCAGCCTAACAGCGGCGAATTAAACGATGCAGCAATGAGAGATTTCAATGCAATGGAAGACTGCAGCTTCTTACCCACTGTACGTGAAGACACAAACGACTGTGAACCGCCTGTCGTGAACGGTCATATACTTCGCAAGGTTGTTCTCGGTCATATTCAGCGGTACAACATGCACCGACCTATCATGATGCGTACGAGCCGCAGCGGATAGCTTAGCTGCCCATAATTTAACCTTGAAGGTCGTCCTATTTAGCTTGA